GCCCCCCCTGCTGCAACGCCTCCCTCTCCCGGTCTCCGGCAAAACACCGCCGCCTCCCGAAGCGAGCCGCTCGGATGCTCGCCCTTGTTTTTAACCGCTCTTGTCCGAGTTGCTCTTGCCAAAACGTAGACGAGAGACGTAGCAAGGATGACGGGCGAGAAGGTTCTCGCCTGGCAGCCGCACGCAGAGAGAGCGACGGGGGGCGAAAACGCTTGAACGGTCCCCCTTTAACAATGGAATCCAGCGAGTCTCATCCCGGTTGCGCGCATCTGCGGGAAAAGCAAAACCTCCGCCCCCCCGCCCGCGCGCCGCGTTCCGTTCATCTTGTCCGCCTCGGAGCGACGGCGGTGGTGGGCTTTACTCGCAGCCGACGGGAGTCCGAGACCAGGCTGGACGTCAGACACCGCCACGGTGACTGCACTCGAGCGCGTCACTGCGTTTTTGAGGCCGGCATCTCACGTGACTTCGCGCGCCGTTCGCGTTGTATTCAAGGAGGGTGGGACAAACGAAAGACGTTTTTTCCGCGAACGATCGTCAAGCCTTCAAATGGTTGTTGACGTTCCAGTCGCCACAGCCAGCCGAGTGGTTGCAATTGCCCAATTGCGCGAATTTCCACTTGACGCCGCTGCCATTTTGCAGTCGACGTTCTTTTACCATCTGCGTTGATAGCCGAGTCACGAACACGCCGCCATAAGTTCGATCCGTTCCCCCTCATCTTGCTGTTAAGGACATTTAAAGTACGAATTATTATTTCAGATAAAATTAGGAGGTTCACGGTTAATACGTTCTTGAACAAAGTTCACTCCAAAAAAAATTAACATAAAAAAATACATCACAGGAGCAGGTGAAGTAGAAACACATTCAGGACTTAGATTAAAAAAAAAAAACACCTACGAAAATGGAAGGGATACAAGTAACAACACTAACGACGCAGTTTAAAGCATCAACAAACATATCTGCTGCCTCATTTTTGGTATTCTAACACCAAGAAAAAAAAAATCTCATCAAATCACACAACAGCACACATATCGAAAACATGAAACAGTCCAGTTTCAAAAACATTCTTTGACATCAAAGCTTCCTTGACTTCATGTAGACCCGAAACGTAGAATGAGTTCACAAATGCAAATTTGTACTCCATAATTGGACGTGACAGTATTTTCATCAAAACCGTCCTCCAGATGTCTGGCATATTGGGAGGTAACTGGTTTGTGCGTTTGCCTCGAGAATTACTAATGGGAAAAAAATGTTTGAACATTTTGTGGCAAGTTTGAACCGGCGTCATGTTGTATGTTGTCTTGAGAGGGAAGAAATTTTCATCTGTTGCTGTATGTTGCACATAAAGCACATGTGACAATAAAGTTGTACTTGACACTTGATACTTGACATTTCCATTCTGGCGGTGGAAACTGATTTTTTTTAAGAAGTTAATTTTTTTCCCCCCAACTAGTTTCACAACTACCATTTTCCCCACATCCAGTAAATGCATCGTGTATCCTTCCCCTTTCCCTTCCTGCCTGTTTCCTCCCAAGCCACTCAACCCCCCCCCCCCTTTATGGGATTGAAAAAAGAGGAATTAACTCTGTGAAAGCATGGTGGCCAGTGGTTGTCTGGTAACAGCGGATTAACCGGCTCTGCGCTCTCTGTTCCACACCGCTGAAACAATTGGACAATTAAAGACGGATGCTATTGCTCCAATGAGCTTGCTAAATGGTAACTTTGGTTATGTTGGCGCTCGTTCATTTCGAGAAATTCATGTCCGTCGAGAATGCACGCAAAGCCTCTCTCGCGCAAAGCTCATGTAAGCGGTTGGCGACGACTTTGGGGCCTTGAGCAGCACTGAGAATCGTGCCAGGTATCATCGGCGCGCACGGGACTGAATAATTAATAGGAAGTGTATCTTTGACAGGTAGACTTTGGAGGCCGTGAGCTCGCCTGTCTGGCCAATGAGAGCATATTTGTCAGACGAAAGGACTGTCGGGCGAGTGATTGATACCCTGTGGCTGCCAGGTTAAAAGCAGCGTGCCTCGACATTAATATCATATGGCATCCGCTCGCAAGGCGACTTCCTCATTTTGTCATCCCGGGCCTCCCTTGCGAGCACCCGCGTATAGAAATTGAAAATTTCGAAGACGGGGCCCGTTTTCTCTTCCAAATCGAATACGGTCAAACACGTTTTAATCTGTACGTTACATCATTACTTGAAGACTAAAAGCGCAAAAGTCATGTCATCATAGCAACCGAGAGCGCGACTTTATCTTGTGAAGTCTGTATTCTGCTCATATTTCGTCATGCTGTATAACTTTCCCATGCCCGCAGTGTAGCTTGGTGTCCTTGTAAAAAATCATCACCTAGAATTGGAATACTCCCTCCTGAAGACGCACAAACTTTGGAATGCGCCAAGCTGAGAATCGGTTGAGGAGAAACAAAAGTTATGATATCACAATTTGTGCCTCGGTACCACCCTTCTGATGGTATAAAAATGATGTGAATCTCTTCCTGCTTCGCACTCGTGACGCGCAGCCATTGTCTGTAATTCGTGGGCGCCCGGAATATTCTGTTATGAAAAGCTTCGAAGGAACTGTTCATCAACTCCAGCCTTTATTTGGATTACCAACATTCTCCTCGTCCAAAATTCAACAACACGCTGGGGGAGAGGAGGCCGCTCTTCCCCCAACACTTGACAGCACGGGAAAAGAGATGACGCTTCTTCTACCTACTGGGCAATAAAAGTAGCGAGTGCGCGTCCTGTGTTTGCGGCTCAAACACATCCGGAGTGCACGAGGAGTGCAGCCTGTGCTCCTTACGTTGTTATGGCAACTAACCGGTGAAGGAGAGAACCGACGTCACGCGTGTGCCGTTTTCGCTCGCTTGCGAGGCCCTTCCCTCTCACCCTTCCCATCCTCTCATCTCGCGGGTAGAGAAAAACAAGAAGTCTTCCCTCCGTCTTCCACCTTCCTTTCTTAAAAAATCATTTCGACAAACGTGGGAACACGAGCGATTGAGAAGGCCACGTGTTCATTTTTGTCACAGTCACTGCAGCAAGGCGGCCACTTGCCCCTCCTTTTTTAGTCATCCTTGTGTTTATATTGTTGAGTTGGGTCAAAATAAACATCAGTTGCCAAGCGTTCAGTCCTGTTTTGATGATACACGTGACACTGTTGCAACAACAACACCAACCAAATATGAGTTGATTTCCCCAGCAACTGACTGCAAGCCAAGCCGTCTTCCTGCGGTAACGGTGAACAGCCCGTACGCTGCCAACTGCGCACAATGAGGGGAAGACAAAACATTTGGCATTTCCTCCCCCCCCCCCCATCGCGTCACATCTCAAACGTTTCATTCGATCATGCGAGAGGCCAAAGTCAAGGCGAGCGCTCTCTCTACTTTGTTGGGGTCAAGTGCAACAACTTTTGTTTTGTTTTAGCCGAGTTCCTCCACAAGTCCGCAGCTCACCTCGCATGTCTGCATTACCAAAATGCAACTCCAGCTGAAACTACACGTCAAGACAATCGGCTGTTTTTGTCCCCATTTTGCAACTTTCCCTACCAAGGACGTGAAATGCCGGACTATTTTTGTCCTCTTTAAGATTATCTTTACGTCTGAGGTGTGTGAGGCAGCTGGCTCTAGTCAAGCCTCTCCTTTTTTTTTTTTTTTTTCTACGAGCACTTGGAGTTACACTCCTGCATGTCTTCGTTACATCCTGGTCGGATGACCGGAACGCACTTGACTTTGGAGTCAGACGATCCTCCATCAAGCGTCTCCAGTTGGTCCAGAATGCTGCCGCTCGCCTCTCGATCGGTACTCGTAAGAGGGAGCGCATCACTCCTACTCTGGCTTCCCTTCACTGGCTACATTTTGAAAATTCTATGATTTCTTTTCTTGAAATGGCCTGGCCCCACCTGATCTTTGTGAGCTAGTCCACCTCTACACGTCTGTTAGAGGCACCGACAACTAAGCGGAGGCTCCGACGGGATGGAGCCTTTTCCGTTGCCGCTCCCTCTCTTTGGAATGACCTCCCGCTGGACATTCGGCAAGCCCCCTTGCTGCCCACCTTTCAAACTCGGCGTTTTTATTCTTTGGCTTTTGACTCGGCATGAAACTTGGCTTTTAGTTAGACTGTTTTTGTGCTTTCTACTGTCTTTGTTATTCATTTATTATTTTGTTTCTTGGGCCGGCAATCTTAAATATAAAACGTGTTCAATATTTCGGACAAAGCTGTTCATATGTGTGCGTGGGCAAAGGCGATCCATCTCGAGCCGTTTGAGTCTGTGGACAGCACAAAAGGTGACGCATGCTCCCATCGTGCTGCCCGACCTTGACACTGTTGTCAACCGAATGGATTTTATTGAATGAAATCATGCTCTACTGAATTCCGTTTGACTCGAACGCTTGTTCGAAAATATACGACTCAGATTTCTCGGAGCTTAGCCATGCGCGTGTCTCGCACCGATATTGCGTCAGCAGTTCCGAGGGCCCCGCTCTCCGTCCGTGTTCATCTCTCTCTCGCGAAATTAAGCATGAACGCTGCATCGTCTGATAAATAGTGCAGGTGCGGGTGCCTCGGCACCATGATGGCTAAAACGCAGAGGTCAGCGATCACTTTGAAGCATGCTGGTCCTTATCCCCATCACCACGTCTAATCGAGTCATGAATCAACGCAAAGCCGGGCTTTTTCTCTTGAACGGACTGCTGCCCCCCCC